ACTAATTTCTTGATTAATGTTTGTTATTTTAAGTTTTGAAACGTTAGGATGTTTTTTATAATTTTAAACTTTTTAGGGTATTTTGTGCAATTTTAAAACTTTTTAGGTTTTTTTTACAATACTCCATATATTATAGTATATTAGCTACATATAATTTCTTTATCTTAACAAACTAATACTGTAAAGCTATTTTATATATTTTATTAATATTATTTTTTAAATTGTTGAGCTATAGATAGTTCACGTAGAATTAGAATATGATATAATTATAATTAGGATAGATTAAGATGTATATGAAATATTCAAAATAGTAAAAGATAATATTGACCATCCGAAACTCGTGCTTTTGAAGGGAGTATGATATGATTTTTCTAGCACTAATTTGCAATTGTAACTTTGAGGTATTTAAGTGTAGGATTTGAAAATATTAGAGTATTCATTTACTGAGTTTTAAAACTGGAACCACTTATTTGTAAGCTTGGTGGCAATTTACCCTAGATTTTAAACCAATTAATGAATTATACGTTATACTAGAGTAAATTTATTGAATGAGATGCATTATGGAAAGTAAGTTAACTAAAATGTTGATTAAAGTAATTGTGACGCCCTCGTTTTCACACATGGTTGTAGTCCAAGGTGAACTCAGAAATGTCAAATCTATCATGCACCCAACACTGTGTATAAACATGTTTCACTGTCACCATTGATATCACTCTAGCAGATGTCAATGCAAAGAAGTGAGGGTACAAGTAGATATAACAAATATGAGATTTCAAACACAATGTAAATAAGAGATATCCAATAGTAACTACAATTATGTCCCAACAAAAGAAAAGAGAAAACATCTGATAAACTGAAATAAGAACAATGAGTCTTCTACATATAAGAGTCAATTGAACAGTACATAGGCACTCAGCCTCCAAAACGAAATATATCTCTAAAAAGATTTAAAACCATAAATAGTCTACTGCGGAGCACTAACTAGCTACCTTTAAATGGCGGTAAACTATACTGAGTCTTCGTCAACCTGCGGCTCTCGGAATCCCTGACCCGCTGCCTGAAAAAGATGAAAACAACGAGCGTCAGAGCGATAGCAAGAACATCTCCCTCCACCCCCAGGCGGAAATGGGTAAACGCTATTAAAATTATATTACTATATCTATATATATATATATATATATATATATATATATATATATATATATATATATATATATATATATATATATTATATTATATATAGAGCAAGACTTCTATTCAACTTAATGTTGATTGTCCACCAAAAAGTTTCTGTAGCCACACGAGTTTATTAATATAAAACACCTTTTTTATATAATAACAAGCGATCCCTAGGCAATATGAGTGCGGTTTAAAAAACTTTGATGTGGACACACTATTCCCTATCCACTTAAGTGACACAAGTTTCCACCTATATATATATATACTTATATATAATATATATATATATATATATATATATATTATATCTATTATAATATATTATATATATACTCCAATAAATCAAATCCTAGAGAAATGTACTCCATTAAGTTGCAAAGATCTTTGTATGGACTCAAGCAATCTGGACGAATGCGGTATAACCGCCTTAGTGAATGTTTAGTCAAAGAAGGTTATACAAATGACCCTATATATATGTCCATGTGTTTTTATAAAAAGGAATGGGTCAAATTTTGTAATCATTGTTGTATATGTTGATGACCTTAATCTGATTGAAACCCCTGAAGAGCTCCAAAATGCAATTGAATATTTGAAGAAAGAATTTGAGATCAGAGATTTTGGGAAAACCAAATTTTGCCTTGGTTTATAAATTGAGCATTTAGAAAATGAGATTTTTGTTCAACAAACTGCTTATACCCAGAAGGTATTAAAGTGGTTTTACATGAATAAAGCACATCCATTAAGTATCATAATGGTCGTCAGGTCACTTGATCCTGATAAGGATTCTTTTAGACCAAAAGAGGAAGATGAAGAGATTTTTGGTCCTAAAGTACCATATCTCAGTGCAATAAGTGCACTAATATATCTTGCTAATTATACAAGACCAGATATATCATTTTTTGTGAATTTATTAGCAAGATTTAGTTCATCTCCTACAAAACGACATTGGAACGGTATAAAACATATTTTTCGCTATCTCCAAGGAACAATTGGTCTTGGCTTATTTTATTCTTATAATTCTCGACCTGAATTGCTTGGATATGCTGATGCTGGGTATTTATCTGACCCGTATAAAGCAAGGTCTCAAACTGGTTATTTATTTACATGCAGTGATACCGTTATTTCATGGCGATCTACGAAGCAATCAATTGCTGACACTTCTTCGAATCATGCTGAAATAATAGCAATTCATGAAGTCAGTCGAGAATGTATTTGGCTAAGATCAATGATCTACTATATCCGGAAGAATAGTGGATTGTCTCCTGAAAATGAAAATCCTCCGACTATTTTGTTCGAAGACAATGCAGCTTGTATAGCTCAATTAAAAGGAAGATATATTAAAGGAGATAGAACGAAACACATTTCACCAAAATTCTTCTTTACACATGATTTGTGAAAGAATGGTGAAATTGTTGCGCAACAAATTCAATCGAGTAATAGTATGACAAATTTATTCACCAATGCATTGCCAACTGCAACTTTTGAGAAATTGGTAAAAAAAATTTGGAATGCGTTGGTTGAAAGATCTCAAATGATATTTGAATCAGGGGGGAAACTAATACACAAGAATAGTGCACTCTTTTTCCTTCACTAGGAATTTTTTCTCACTAGGTTTTTTCCTAGTAAGGTTTTAACAAGACATATTCTTTGTGTAATGTTGGACATCCAAGGGGGAGTGTTATGAAACAATTAAATGATGTGGATGCCCATTTAGTTTCCCAAAGAGATTGATACATGTATTACCCCTTGATATTCTCTGTGAGCAATTAATATGATTCATGTATCATCATCTTAGTTTGTATATAAATAGAGGTATTCCTACCTCACTTTTCAATGAGAAATTTAAAGAAATAAAATTCTTTCTACTTCTTGTCTACTTCTCTACTCTACTTTTTTAGTTTTACAACAGGGACCACTTATTGGACCACTTATTGGCAAGCTTGGAGAAACTATAGGGCATTTTTCTTCAATTTTGCCACAAACATTTGAGGGTATATAAGTGCAAGATAGTTGAAACTATAGGTCGTTAATTGCAATTAAGCCCTACATTTATCCATTCGCCGTCAGCGACAGCAATAGCAGTATTCGGAGCTTAAGCCCGAGTTGAGTTCTGTTCTGTTCCTTTTCACTTCTAAAAACCCTAAAAACCCTAAACCTACAGTCAGGCTTAGTACCGAGAACCGCTATCTCTGATCGAGTCCTCTCACTCGAGGTAAAAAAAAATTTAATCTCAATAATCAACTTGTGGCAATTTTTTTTTTGGGGAACTGATTAAATTTGCTCTAAAGAAAAATGATAATCAAATTTTTGGTTGAATGTATTTGGGCACTTATGAGGAATTTCTTGGTGTCCAATGCTTTCCAGTGCTTACCATGGATTAATTTATATTTGTGGAAAATGTGAGGAATATTATAGAAATGCTACTCCAAGACAAACTATATGGATGAAATTCCGCTAAAGGATTTGATTTATGTGTAATGTATTAGTTCTTTGTTTCCATCAGGATAAGATGAAATCTTCATTGCTTCTTACTTCATTATAGCATATGCTTCTCTATATATTTCACTTGAAATGGCACTTATATTTCATTTCCTTACTTTTTTTACCTTGGTAATTAGGTTAGATTAGATTTAATCTACAGTTGGCAGTATTGAATACTTAAAAAGGAAATACACTGATTTTCAGCATACACAATTGGAATCATGTCTTAAAAAGCAAGCACGTAGGCGCCTGCCTAGGCCAAAACAGTACCTAGGCCGTCCGCCTAGATATTGCCAGCGCCTAGAGGGGCGTGGTCCGCTTACCTGTAATGCACTGATTAGGTCTTGGTTGTGATTTCCTCCGATGCATCCTCCACGTCCTCCAACCTCCTCCGATCTCCTCCACCAACTATGAACACCTTCTCCACCTCCTCCAATATTCAGCAAAACCTCCTCCTTACCACTTGATCAAAGAAAGAAATTGGCCTAGGTGCCAGTCAGGCACCCAACGTATTATCGATTACAGTAATTAAAAAAATGGAAAACCACCTGGCCGCGCCTAGGTTCTAGGTGCTTGGTCCGACGCCTAGACCACCTAGCACTTTCTGTAGCCTTTATTGCAATTTTGAAAGTTGTTGCTATGCAATATTTTCCTCTTAGGTACAATATTCCTTGCTACGTAATGTGATTCGCCTCTGATGTACTGAAATGAAGATATTTATGGGATTCAGAGGAATTCTCAATGTTTTTATGTCCTGAAGACAAATGAAAACTAATGAAACCTTATTATATTTGTTTGGTAGAGTTCAACCAACATCTTAGTGGTTTAAACTTAAGACGGTAATTTCTTTTTTTTTTCTTTTTTTTTGTGTGAGATTTGTTTACTGCAGGTTGGTTTCGTATTCTGAAAAAAGACATGGTATCTAAGTTTTTCCCCCTTCTATTTCTTTCCCCTGTACTAACAAGTATTAGGATAATTTAAAGTCTATGTTAAATTAGTAAAAAAACTAGTAAACTTGAGGCTATGCTAGATAGGAAACCACTAAATGCAGTTTTTTATAGAATGGGAATTTAATGATAA